CCCCAGCACTTCTCATGAGGGACACTGGCACAATCCTGTGACTCCAAACTCACTGGTGAACAATGGCACTGTGGGGAATTCAGGTAACTCTTCTCTGTTGTATCAAACCTCTCGCACTTTGTGTACCAGTGTTAAGTGTTACAGAAACAGCTAACTCTTGCAACTTTTTTAAAATATGATGCTTAAGAAACTAAACCTTTACCTTCAGTGTCTTAACATTTTCATAGGAAAAAAAAATTAGCCAGGTTCTGTAACTGTGACTTTGAAGCATTGGTCCTGTCTGCCCTTATGGCTGTGCAACAGTGAGAAATCCTGCATTCAACTGAGAAATGTCCTAATCGTTGTTTGAGTCATTGCTGTGAATATGCTGATAAATAATGGTTTTGTTGTGTCATAGAATCATAGAAACGTTAAGGTTGGAAAAGGCCTGTAGGATCAGTATGTTGTTACATAGTTTATTAGATAAATGCCAAGACTGCAACCAGGAACTCAGAGACTGGTAGGATTATAGCTGTGCAAATTGAATATTGCCTCCTTGCATTTAGGACAATATCACATCATCTTATCCATCCTTTGTTCCTAGAGTTTATCCTGCCACATTCAACTTCCATAATCTCTATGTCGATTCCTGAAAATACATATTCCTGCAACAAGTGGGCAACAGCCTCTCGCCTCATAGCTAAGCCAAGTGTTTTTGAGGCTGAGAAAAAACAGTATATAATAATTACAGCCCATTCAGTTTTCTCTGCAACATGAACTGTGGCAGCCCCTAAATTTTAACTGTTATCTGCAGATCATGATAATGGTCTCCTGATTTTATTCTGAGTGTGTAAGCTCTTCCTATGTTTAAAAAAACCCACATCCATCATACAACATAGTGGTGCAGTTCTTCACAAGGAGGAAATTCTGAGTCTCCTCCCCAGCCCTTCTCTCACTAATAAGGTGATTAACAGCAACAGGAGATTTTCAGCTCACTGTTGGGTGAGGAGTAATTCACCAATGAGTTTCAAATACATGTTAAGGTGCTGGAGATACATGGTTTTCTATTCAAAGCTTTGTGGGGAATATATTTTAGAGGATACAGAAACTGCTACCCATGTGTTTTCTGTGTCTCCAGTGTACTGTGTCCCTCCCTCTCCATTTCTGATCTTAGTTCTCTGTCCAGGCTTGTCTGTCCCCTTCTGCACATCCACCCCAGCTTTGACTTTTTCTCAGGCAGCTCCTTCCAATCCAGGTCTCCTTGCCCAGGTAGCTGCCTTCTTTCAGACAAGCTCCACAAATTCTAGTTTCTTCCATTCTTCAGTTTTCTTGTGCTGTCAGTCACAGTATTTTTTTTCCCCATCCCTCATCTTCCACCTATTTCCAACCTCATCACACTCCTTTAACTACTTCCCAGTCACGGTATTTCTCCTCTTTGTATTTAATTAGTTTTATTTCTTTTTTGGCTTAGCTGCCACTAAGGTGAGGTCACTGGGTGGATGCACAGTAGAGATGAGTTGTCTCCTCTCTCTTTGGTTTGGTTTCTTACTTGTCTTGGGACAATTTAGGAACACTAAGTTTTTGGAAACTTGGTCTTGGCTCACATAACCTTGACTTGGAAGGAGCTACTTAAATTTTCTTTTCAGTAGACAACTGATCACAAGTAGGATCATTAGAAGTTTCAGACAGACAACTTTTTTTCATGCATACTCCAGAGCTATACCTCATGTTGTGTGCCCTGCCTCCTTGGATGCTTGATTTCTCATCCTTAATGTTGCAGTGATACTGGAATTTTAAATGGAATAGCTTACAAACTTTGGAAATAAGTACACAAATTATATTTTAAAAAATAAATTCTAATCAATTTTAATATTTTTAAAAATCAATTTTAAGTTGGTCTGATGATTTAGATAGCAAGTTTCTTAAGCATATAGGTATTAGTAAAATTCCAGTGTACATCTGAGAATTATTTCTTGCAGTAGGATAACAGCTTTCATGTCAGTGGATATTTATTTGTGTGGGATCAGACAGTAGTGACATTGTTCAGACCTTGTATTTTCATCATGAGAATGACATAGGAATAATGAAATCGCAGGTCTTGATTTTAATACTGATTCATCCTCTGTCTTCCTCCCCAATAAATTCTATTATAGCGAATAATGAAGTAATTTAGGTGGTAATTTTTATTGATGTATATTTAAAAGAAAAGTAGCACATCAGACTAATCACATTAAGTCCCCTGCAAACTGTTATTTAAGATGTAAATTGTATTTGTGACTTACTGTTTAATTATTTCAACTTGCAATGTGCTTTTCCCTTTCAATTGAAAAATAGATCAGGGTTTCCAAGGACAGTTTGGTAAAATGAACCCTCCTTCTGTCCCTTGGGACCATGGGACCCCTACCCATTTTCCTCTCCTCCGAGGAGCGTGGCCTTACAATATGCCTCAGAACTACATGCAGCAGGGAAATGCCAGCTACCCACCGAACAAACCTTTCTACCCTCAAGGTACTAGAACTAGTATGTGCATCCACAGCTCATGCAACATGTCTCTGTACTGTCTCAAAGGCTTTCAAAGCCAAGGAATCATGTTTCACTTGCTAGGCTCCCTGGAACCATAATGAATCCTAGAGTCAAATCAGCGCTTCGGCTTCCTCGAGGGATGGATGGAAATCCTTGTGGGAGGGAAGGGTTAAATCAAAATCTGAAATCTGAGCCAGTTTGCAGTGTGGTGCACTTCTGGCCTCTTCTTCCTTTGCTGCTATCTCACTGTAGAGTCACCTCTGCCTCAACAGAGGTTAAGATGATTGGCCCCTGAGCATGTTAAAAATATGAAGAAATATTTGTCCTAATTAATTTTATTTGGCTTTTGTGCCTCGCTTTGGGGAATGACTTATATAGATAGAAACTTGCAAGACCACAGAATAATTTAAGGTTGAAAGGGGCTTCTGGAGGTTACCTAGTCCAGCCCATCTGCTGTTAAAGTTAGATCAGGTTCAGTTAGTCAGGGTACTCTGAAGGAGTGACTTTATCTCAGCTCTTTCTGATGCCAGTTAAAGGTGTTCAGCATCTGGCAGGACTGGGAAGGGCTCTAGGAAAAAGACCTCCACCACGAGAGAAACGATGCCCAAATTTGCCTTGGAGGATTTGCAGTTACATGTTGCTGGGTCACCTGGTATAAAATGAGATACTGGTGCAAATCCATTTCGAAAGTCTAATCTACTGGCTGTAGCAGGGTTTCCAAGTGAAACCTAAATTTATCTAAAATCCTCAAGTTATTTCTCTTAAATATATGATGTAATGCAGCAAAATGATGTACTGATAATTCTTAGGGAATTTTGGAGATAGGATTAAAGTAATACTGCATTGTCCCATTAAATGGTTTAGTTATACAGACAGCATTTGTGTCAGTCTAGTAAATGGCTTTATTTCTAGGTTAGATTAGTACACTGAATGTAGCCAAGCACTGTTAAATGTTGGATTTGCTGAAGTAACTGTGATCCATTTTCTTTTAGCTGGTCCACTGATGCAGAGTAACCAGCGTTTCCCGCTTCTGTCTCAAGGACACCCACACTTGAATCTGAATTACATTCAACAGAAAAAGTGAAATTCAATGGGATTGTGGGTGGGTGGGGGGAGGGGAGGAACAAATTCAGGTTCTGATTTAAAATCTTAATGCAACATGTTTAGATACAAGATTATTTAAGACTGTTTTTAAACTGTATCATTTGTACATAGATATGAACTATAGTTTTTACTAGTATCACAAAACCGAGTGATACAAATTTCATCTATTTTATTACCCTATTTTTAAGGGGAATCGTGTTTTGTTTTATCTTGATAAACTGTAAAGAGAGAGAATTTTTAAAATTAAGTTCTTTATTTTCTATTAGCTGTATTCATACTTTGGTTGCTTCAGACTTTATATATATTGTTCTAAAAAAAAAAATAAAATTAGAAGGGGATTTCATGTGTTTAAAAATTTGTCACTTCTATTCTTTACAGAACTATGTAGTGCCAAAAAACTTTTTAAAAGAAAAATAAAACTGCAAAAAAAGGACATAAAACTTCTTCCTCTTCCCTATTTGTATGTATATGCTTGCTTTAACTGGAATTAAGAAACTAGAATAACAAAAATGGCTTAAATTTAAAGATCTTAGAAAGATGAGCATCTTAAAACATGTCATACAAGCAGTAGACCTGTCTTGTAAATTCCTGAAGGAAGAACACACCTGCTTTTCTGTTCATTAACTTTGCAAAATAATATGCAGATACTCTGGAAAATTCATGCTGTACTGGGAAGTAACTTTGAAGAGGACTTTCCATAAATTCACTGGGCGTACTCTTTGAGTTGTCAGGATTCACTTGGCAATATATGAGGATCCCTAAGCCCTAAATGCAGGGATAAACCTGTCAGTCCCTCCTCCTGAAACAAGGCTGTCAATAATGATGTGGTACACAAGGGCTTAACAAGTGAGTTCCTGCAATACAGAATTAAATGTACTAAAATGAGAATTATAATTTCAGCAAGACCTTAATTATTTTACATTTAAAAAACAGGCACTTGCCAATGCTGACTTGATTCAGAGAAGGTAGACCTGAGCATCAGTGTCATATTCAGGGAGGCCACAAACTATGCTCAACGTAGCGGTTTGCTATCTTTAAATATATATTGAACTTCTTGCGCCAAAAGAATTAAGCACTTTGTACTACTTGAACCCTCTAAATTGTCTGAGAAGCAGCAGATTAACTTCAGGGTGATTTTTACAAAGGAACTTGTGACAGCTGTGTGTTGGAGAGCAGTTCTGAGTGAGTTTTTTGTAAACTCACTGGATTTTGACAGTCTTGCTTCCTCTCCTATGCTGGAGCTCTGAGATAGCTCAGCGCTGGTGGCTCTGCAGTGTCTGGGACTGGAACAGACACTTCCTTGGCAACTGAACACAACACCTTGATTTGAGAATGAAGCAGCTTCAAACAGGGAACATCTGAACACAGTATTATGAAAGAAACAGCCAGGAGCCTTGAAAGACAAACCTTTTTTATTGCTCTTCACTAGCTTTTATGGGTCTCAAGGAATACAATTTAAAAAATCCTCAAATTCTATCACAAGGATGACTAACTCACTACATAAAAAGTATCCTTAACTTCCTTTTAATAAAAAAATCCTAACAGAAAACAAGACTCGCACAAGAGAATGACTGAAGAAATGGGCTGCTAAAGCAGCCAGTACAGATCCAGCTGTCCCATAAAGCAGATGGACAGCATCAGACTGCAGTTCAAGGTCCTTAAACTGTGTGCTGGGTTTAGTTTGTCATTCATTCCCTCGCCGACTCTTTTTGTGACTTTTCTTAGATCTGAAACAGAACAACAAAGCTCTCTGACACAGTACTAGTAATTCATTTGAAAGACCAAGGTGAGCCTTAGCAGTAAGGGGGGGTTTCTGCAGTCAAATATGGATGGTGTGACTTGACTACAACACTGAGAAAAGTACTCAGTGAAATACTAGATCTCCAACACTGTAAAGCCACCTTCAGTCTCCAAGATTAAATGACAAGTAATAGCTGCTACAGCAATACAGATACCCTTAAGAAATAGGTCAGGCCTTTACCTTTCAGGCGATTTGGAATGACTTCTGTGTCTGTGACTTCGGTGATGCCCTGTGAGATAAAAAGGTACAGTTACTTCCACAGACCCCAGAATTCTTTTTCGTTTGCCAAAGCAATCTGCTCCTAGTGACCAAGTGTGCTAGATAATGGCAGAACAACCCTAGCTTTAATTAGGCACTCAAATTAACCTCCTGGCAGTTATGTGAAAACTTGCTCAAGGCAATTTTATGTGCATTAAAGGAGTTCTCCAGCTGTGCTTTCATGTAACCAGCACTTCTGTCAGCCAGATTAAGCACTGATGCCATGTCTTGATACCGTGACACAGATTTTTCTTGCAGTGAATGTTCTCCTGATAAAGACTTGCCAGAGTTAACCTGCAAGTGACAGAAATACCTGGAGATTTAGATCTGGATCTGTGGCGCCTTTCCCTGGACCTGCTCCGGTGCCGTCTCGGGCTTTTGCTGCGATGCCTCTCCCTGCGCGGCGATGGGCTAAAAGAGAGACGCTTGTAAGAGAGTTGTGCTAAAAATGCACACCTTCTAAGATTAAATAACAGAATAAAACACTACCTTCTTCTCTTTGGAGAGCGACTTCGCCTGCAATTGGGGGAGAAAAGCAAAAATTACTAAAAATCGTTAGCAGAACCAGCTGTTTTATTTCCCACATCCTCTGGCAACAGCACCAGGGCCTCCCGTACCCCTGTTAGTGTGTGCTTGGCCTGCTGCACAAGGACCTGCTTCTGGACTGGCCCATGCAGTGAGCAAGGGAGGTTAGTGATGAGTTTTTCCTGGCTTATTATCAGTAAGAGAAGTTACCAGGATTTTCTCTGCAGCCTCTGGCATACATGAAAACAAAGCACTTGTGTCTCCTTAACATCCTCACTGTATTGTCAAATTTAGCTAATGTTGGCCAGCAAGTTCAGGGGTTACTGAAGGACTGGAGAAATAGGCAGAGGGGTTGAATGTGGCTGTGCACTGCAACTCCTTACTTTAGGAAGTGGCTAAAGGAATGGGGATGTGTGAGAGGTTCTGGCTCAACTGCCACCTTCACCTCTGTGCTCCAGCCACCTGCAGTAGAACAGGTAAAAACAATGCTCAGGAAGAGTCACGTCACCTCCTTGGAGACCTGCTCCGGCTGCGCCTGTACCGCACAACGGGAGATCTGCGGGGTTTGTCCAGGTCTCTGTATCCCCTGCGGCGGTGGTCGGGAGATGGTATTCGTTCCAGCTGCAAACAAGGAGGGGGCAGGTTCTCTAAGTCTTGTTTCATCAAGGTTTTTAGCTCTCAGTAAATATTTCTGAACAATTAATATAAATTACAAAAGTCGTGCAGTCAAGCTTGCCCCTCCTCAGGTATCTCATGTGAGCGGTTCTGCCTAAACCTGCCCACTGGAAATTAAAACAGCCACTTCTCATACTGTTGATTCTGAAGAACTACAGCAGCAGTGACTGTGATGGTCATAATAACTTTCATCATCACCTTCAGCTCTTTCCATTACACATATATGTAAAACAATTTACCTGAAATATGTTTAACACAGAACAGATCCAGATTTGTGAACTTCAGGAGACAGAAAAGCTTAACAAACACAGAGCATTCAAGAACTGCTTCAGGATCTAACAAATCCTCACAAGCTGCTTATATGAAAATATTTTAAGGGGGGACATAAGAGTTGCCAGCAGCCTCCTGATGCCTCCCCTCGAATATTTATTGTAGACCATAAAGTGTTCTAAAGTGGTTCAGCTTTAACTATCCCTTTCCAAAATAGTTCACCAACCTTTTCATCTTCCTCTTCTTCCTCCTCACTAGATTCTACATCATCCATGTCTTCTTCCAGAGCACTAACACGAGGCTCGAGTTGCTCAGCTTCTTCCAGAACATACCGTTTCTAGGAGAAATGGCAACTTTATCCAACATAACCCAAGTAAGAACAAACACCTGAGGAGGCATCCATAGCTTATACAACAAGCCAGTAACTGATACAGCTACTGAACCTGATGCAGTTAAGAATTCCATAGCCATCTACTTTCCCCAACCTGCAATCGAGGCAGAATGATATCGCACACACGTTCCTCGTGGAGCAGCTCGTCAATGAACTCATCCACGTGCATCAGCTCAAATTCTGGGGGTGAAAACAGCATTTAAGAGATAAGATTAGTGGCTAGAGTAAAGATGAAACACTCCGGACAATTTATGTCATGTGGGCCGGTTATGCCACAATTGTTTAAGTTTACATTGCTAAACAGAATATTTACTGTTATCTAGCATGATAGTTGAACAAAAGAGTTACTAAGAAACCACAGCTAAGTAGGAGTTCTTACCCCCATTTCTGTTCTGACTCTTTATTTTTCTATAGTCGTTGTATAGTGGTTCCAGGTACTTGTAGCAGTCGATGGCAGTGCCCGTCAGCCTCATGTACAGCGCTCCAAGCATTCGGACATACCTGGAAAGGAAACCTCCTCATGGACCTGGGCCTTTTGTACAGTTAGCAGTTTGAGTAAAAGAAGAGTTTTTCCCATAAGTTTCTGAGGAGAATCAGTACACTAAATAGAATACACAGCCATTTGGATTTCCTCCTTCACGCGTTCAAGTTTATGAAAAATACGTGTAGTCAAGTGCGTGTGTGTATCTATATATATATATATATAAATAAAATGTCTGTATGGGTGTATCATCACTGATAAGGATGAAAGAAATACCGAAGAAAATATTAGATTAACGTGGCTCCCTTTATGTACCTTGTTGCAAATACTTCAGGCAGAAGCACATACCACGAGTGCAAGCCACTCTAAATACAAATGACAAGGTGAGCAGTTTCAAAAGCAAGGGGAAAGACTTGGTTTTGAGCAAGTTTATCAGGGCCCAATGAAAGCTAAACCCTGCACTGAGGTATTCCCGGCTGTTTTGGATAGATACTCATTACAACAGCACAAAATAACGGGAAAAATCGTGCTACAAATTACTTGAAGTCCTCGTTTTTTATGAACTCCACGATGATGTCCTTCTCGGGCTGGATCTGCAGCATCTTCAGCGTCAGGCACAAGAAGGGTGTGGGCTTGATGTTTCCTCCATAGACCCCCCCCACGTACTTCAGCTCCATGGCCTTGTCCACTACCAGCTCGGCTGCGACAGGGACGGGACAGGCCGTCAGTAGCAGCTCCCGCCGGGCCCCTCGGCCCGCCCCGGCCCGCCCGCCATACCCGTGAGGCCGAAACACTCCTCCTTCCAGTACTTGGACTCGTAGATGCGCGTGCGGATGATCTTCTCCACCAAGTACTGCGGGTTGGTGCCGTGGATGCTGTGCGCGTCCTTCACCGTGCGGTTGGCCATGGTCGCGGCTACACAGCCCCGCTCCCAGCCCCGAGCTCAGCCTCGAACTCCGAACTCCGAACTCCCCTCCCCTAAAGGGTTCAGGCACCTTCCGCCTCCGGGGCGCGGCCGCCAGCCGCCATCTTACCTGCGGGCAGCCCGCCACAAACATGGCGGCGCCCCCGCCCGCCCCGTGCGCACGCGCGGCCGGGGGGCGGAGCTTCCCCCGCCTGTGGCGCGAAGTTCCATCGCGGCGCTGGCGGGAGTCGTGGAAGGGCGGCGGTGAGTTGGGGCTGTGAGGGGACAGAGAGGGGACAGAGAGGGGACAGAGGGGGGACAGGGAGGGGACTCGTGTCCCGTGCAGGTCACCGCGCACCGCGATGGGCTGCCTGGGAAACGTGGGGAGTCTCCCTCGCTGGAGATGTCCCAGAACAGGTCTGAACGCCGTCCTCTGCAACGTGCTCTGGGATGACCCTCCTGGAGCAGGGAGGGACCGGATGAGTGAATGTGGTCCCTTCCAGCCTTACCCGTTCTGCGAGGGGGTCTGGCGGGTCTGGCGCTCTGTGCGGGCGGTGGGCGGGTTAGCGGCTCTGTGGTGGTGGCGAAGCCCCTCGGTGTCCGAGCCGGCGGACACTGTCCCCTGTGCCGCCATGCGCCGCCCCCAGCGGGGCACAGTCCCTGAGGCAGCGCTGCCCGCGCTCCGAACCGACGGGCTGGGGCGGGCGGGGGGTGATCGGCACCGAGGACTTTGCCCTGAGTTTCCAAGGGAAATTCTTGCTTAGAAAACAGGAATTAAACAAACCAAACCAACCCGATCGCAGTGAGGTGTGGAAAACAAGCGAGTTTCAGTCTCCGGAGGGCGCAGCCCGCCCCGCCATGGCGGCGAGGGAATTGATTAAGAGTTGAGTAAAAATTCACTGCTAAATATCTTCCATTTTTCCTTCTCCCTCGGGGAGAGGTGTCTGGAGGCTTTGGGGAAGGTGGTCTTCTCTGAGCGAACCACCACGTTCTTCCTACACACCGAAAGAGTTTGTGGTATTTCTATGTATCTTTCCATCTTGCCTTCTTTTGCTTTCAAATAACAATTTTTAAAAAAGTGTTTGCTTATTTCTTTCAGCTTTTCCTTGGGAATCATGAACACCCGGCAGCAAAGCAAACTTATCTACTCCTGGTATGGGAAACCCATGAGCTCAGACAGAAAGCTGAGGACTACTCAGTACAAGTAAATAACATTTATTTCTGTCTTGCTCAGGGAAACTTAATCAATGAATGTTTTCTTAAATTTCGGACGTCGTTTAGGTTAAAGTGGCAGGCAGTGAGAATATGAGTAAGGTTTTGAGCATTATGTTGTGACACTATACATATATAACAAAAACATTGTTACAAAGCTCTTGAATTATAAATTGTATAATGTATAAACGAAAGCATTTAACTAAATCTGTGAATAAGTGTTAGCTGTCTAGTTGACATATGTGTGAAAGCTAATCAGGGAACTAAATTGTAAGCTTTTCAAGAAAGGTTATAACTAGCTGTAAAGTTGACAGGCCATCAGGTTTAATGATGTGTGAATTAGGAAGAGTATGAAATTCTGTTAATCTGCCTGTCTATCCCTTTCTAGGGGGATCATTATTACCTCCGAAAGCAGCAGAACAGAAACGTGTATACAGCTTGGGGACTTTATTCTAGTAGAAGGGGTGAATGCAGATCGGCCTTATGTAGCACAGCTCCTGGATTTATATGAAGATGGTAAGAGAAATAACAATTTACTTTCTATCTGAGAAATCTTAAAATGTTTTAAAGTGACCTTTTCATGGGGAGGTAGTTAGCATTAACACTGTATCACTGACCTAATTTATTAGGAAAATTAAGCTTTGGTAATTGTTGCATCTGTATTCACATACTCCCCAAATATTTGGCACCGATGGCTAATTTTGGCTAAATTTGATACATAAATGCAGAGTTTAAGGACATTATATTTTTACAGTCTTTTTGTTTAGTTGCTTAATTTAAAAGAAATGGTCCTGGAGGAAGACAGTGTGAGTTCATGCTTTGTTTAGAGATTGGAGAATTCAAATGGACCAAGAGCATTGCAGCCCTGAAAGTTGCCTCTTATTAGACATCAGGCTATTTAACAAAAAAGTACTAGGCTGAGCAAATGGGATTTGTTGCGTCTGTCCCTTCTAGAACTACTTGTTTATTCCTAGATATGAAGAGATACATCACGGGAGGTGATTGATACAAAGACTATGTCTGAGTCTGAATGGGGAGCTCCTCGTTAGCTATGTCTGATTTCTTTGAACAGCTTTTGTTCTTTTTGTGCCATCATAATAATACTTAGAGGTTTTCTAATTTTCTTTACTTTTTTTAAAACATAATACATCTCACAACAGCTTTTTTATTTACTAACAGATATTTATTGTAACATAACTGAAGATTCTTTTCATTCTGGAACAAAACACATGGAACTTCCTTGAAAACAAGATTTTTCTTTTGTTTTATATCTTTGACAAGGTACTGGTTTGTTAGGCAGTGAAAAAAATGTGTCTAGCCTCTAAAAGTACAATGGCACTACAAATAACGTTCTTAAATGTCTCAGTTCTCCTTTTATGCCACTGTTTTTAATTACTGGGGTTTGAGGAGATCACATCTATGCAAATAAGGAACCTCTTCATATGTGATAGTGAACTGGTGGTCTGGAGCTGGTCTCCAGGTATTTTGTGGTTGAGACCCTACATAAGTGTTGTCTTGGTTCTTAAAAGTCTCAACTCAAACACTGATTTAGCTTAGAAAATGGGAATTGCAATCTGTTACCAGATGCTTTCTCACCAGGGAGGGTTTCTATCCTTAATGGCATTTTGGCTGAAGGCATTAAGGTCTAGCCCTAACTATTTGCAGTAAAATTTTTCACATTCACTGACTTCTTCTCGTTGTTCCAGGTGCTCAGCACAAACGTGCAGTTGTGCAGTGGTTCTGTCATATTGGAGAGATACCTCAGAATAAAAGGAAGCTGCTTAAAAGAGAGATTTCCTCCCAAGAAGTGTTTTTTGACCAAGTTCTTGGCTATGACACTGATATAGATGCACAGACCATCATTAAAAGCATCATGGTATGTACTGCAACCCCTCTGCACAGACAGGGAAGAGAGAAACAGGAACAGTCCTGTAGTGTAATAAACTTATGCTGGTGTAAATGTAGGTTGAAGGTGTTGCTTTATAGAATGAAGGATTGCATGAGTTACAATAAGATCTGTGAATAGAAAATAGCTGAATGTTAATGTGTGTGTGCTTTGGTATTTTCTGTTTTTGCAGGTAATACCACTACATCCAGGGGAGGAACTACCTATTACATTAAACAAGGAACAAACTTTCTACGTAAAACAGTCTTGGGATGGGAAATGCTTTAAGGCTTTGTCCCCAGACACATTCTCTAAGCTGAAAGCCAAGAAGAAAAAAGGCAGCACCCCGGACTCATCAGAACCATTTATTCCTTCAGACATCCTTACACCCCTGAAAAAAGAGACAGAGAGTGTTGTTCAGAGTGCCACAAAACCAAAAAATGCTGAGTCAAAACATTCTGTTTCCAAGTCCTCCCTTGCTAAGGAGAGGCAATCACAGAGAGCGGTCAATGACATCAAAACCCCAACAGCAAGGAAGAAGTTGGAGTTAAGCAGTATGTATATGGCAATATTCTGTCCATTTGGTAGTTCTGAATGTAGCATGTTCTGTGCCTCTCCATTTTAGGTAGTTTAAACAGTGGTAACATTCAACATCAGTATTTTTAGCTGCCTTGTTCGGTCTTTGGGATCAGCCCAAGCCTTTTGGGCACATCAGTTGTTTGTCTGTTATTTCGGGCAACTTTACTGCGTGTATCCATCTGCTGTTGCAAATGTTTTATTTGTAACTGATAATTCTAAATTAAAGTGCTTGTTGACTGAAGTGCCCAACTTGGTCTCAGAACGTCCCCCTTTCTTTAATCTTCTGCCTAATGGTGCACTAAAATGTTTCCATTGGGCTGGTTGAATGAGCACATTTGATCCTATGTAACATGCAGTATTTACTGGAACCTCAGTAAAGTTGTAAGTGATGGAGGTGAGTTAGAAAACAACAAATGTGTCTGTCTTCCTATAAAAAATTACTAAATAGAAGTGCACACCTACTACTGATCCAGTTCCTTGTTCCTGGAGTGAGATGCCCATCTCCTTCAAATAACAGCCAGTTGTACCATGTCTTCTGAAAGTTAACCAAACCAGCCATAATAAAGCCTGACAAAAGTTCATTTTGCTCTTGATTTCTAGGTCCCACAAGATCTAAAGGCAGGCTCCTGGGAAGTGAAGTTTTGGACCTTTTGGATGATGACCGTGATGCCATAGCACCGTTAGAATCAGCAGCTACTAAAAGAAAAGTGACTTTCACAAGTGATATTTTAGGCTCACCGCCAAAGATCCCTTGCAGCAATGATAAATCCAAGTCAGTATCTGACACTGCAGAGCCCTGTCAGAGGTTCAGTGACACAATTCGATTGTCCCCCTACCCCAAGGCCAAAGACTTCAGTGAGAAAGCCAAGAACCTTCACGTGGAAGATGACATCATATCGTAAGTGAGGGCCCTTTTATCATTATTTGTCTATGGGATTTCCATTTGCGTGTAGTTCTTTTAAAATACATTTATGAAAGACTTCCAGAGATAAGTAATTTTCCTCCTTTCCAAGAGCAAAGATGCTGATGTGACAATGGAATTAGCACTTCTTTTTTTGTCTGTTACAATAGAGCATAAAAATGTTTACCTTTCGTTGATAAGGTAATGGTGTTTCAGCTGTATTTACAGATTAAAAAAAATCTCCAAGAACTATCAACAAATAATTAAAGCATCTGGAATTCATCTCATCGTGTCCTTTGAACTAGAAGGAAAGTTTTGTACTAACAGTAAAATATTTCAGTGGTAGGGAGGAGAAGCACCCAAGAAGACAACCAAGGAATATCAAAACACAAGGAGAAAAATATATTCATAAGGGCAGATCAAAGAGAGGCCCAAAGGAAATAGTTTTTGTCTTCTCTTTCTCTTAAAAAAGAATAGGCAAAACCCCCACCTCT